TCCTCCTCCTCCTCCTCCTCCTCCTCCTCCTTCTTCTCGATAGTATCACACTTGAAATCTGGTATCTGTCGTAAACTGGGCCGTCCTGCTCAGTTCATCTGTCGGCCCGTATAGCTTCTCTTGTAGCGTCAGTGAGGTTGGCCACGTTTCCTGTCTCAGGGCCCTGTGTGTCTTGCAGTGCTGAAGGATGTGTTCAATAGTTACCACGAGTAGTGTTCTTTTTAGTTCCCCCCGCATCATTTGGTCGTTTTCAACCCTATCCGTACGTCCTATGGTTATTTTGTACCACCGGGTTGTATTCTTCACATGTTTTAGAATACTTCTAGTACGAAGATCTCTTTGAAGCTTTCAGTATTTTTTTCTTGAAAAATCAGACTGCTATGCAATAGAGAACAGATCGAGTTAACGAGTAAATTTCGTTTTTGGAAAGTGGTGGCACAGAGCTCCCCACGTCGTATGGATACGATAGTAAAACACGACATAGAACAGTAACAAATTGATTATTGTTTTGGCTACAACTTAGTAAAGATTTCCTTTGTATGTAGAAGACGTGATGTCAACTAAATCACAATTTTAAAAAATGTTATTACCTAAGACTTTTAATGTGGGTGATTGACGGGTGCTCTGGTGTGGTTTGTTCCTTCTTTCCTATCAAACATCTATTGTCCTGATCTCTCCGCCTTCTTCTTTGTATTTGTTACTCTCTTGCAACACCTCTAATTTTCGGCACTTATGTGACCTTTCTGTGTTGCAAGTGCCGTAAAACGCTTACTAATACTAAAACTAGACTTTTAATCGTACATTTCTCGTGTCCTTGGGCACGCACCCACAGACCACAGGAAAACCGGAACAGAACATAGTCATTATTTTTGTGTGTCACTTTCTGTTGAATAAGACAACGAGGAGGAAATGGCATAGATATATTTTTGTATTTCCGCCAGTTTCTGCACTCACACACCTCTCAACTGACAGTCACAAACACACACACACACACACACACACACACACACACACACACACACACACACACACACACACACACACACACACACACTAACTCAGTAACTATACTAATTCTCTAATAATAATTCTCCGCACTGATATCCCATTCCAGGTTCGCAGCTCTAGGCCTGAACAACCCAGACACAAAGTTCAAGGTGTACCGGCCATTTTTCAGTGTGATTGGCCAAAAGCCACTGGTTAAGATAATGCCATAGATCTAGTCAAAAGCCACTGGTTTAGATAATGCCATAGATCTAGTCAAAAGCCACTGGTTTAGATAATGCCATAGATCTAGTCAAAAGCCACTGGTTTAGATAATGCCATAGATCTAGTCAAAAGCCACTGGTTTAGATAACACCCTGGTCAAAAGCCAATAGTTTAGATAAAGCCCTTGTCAAAAGCCTCTGGGTTTTATTTTAGGGGACCTTCAAATGTTATAATTTTACGCCTGGAAGGGGGGGGGGGGGGTCTTTGGCTCTTGTAAGAAAAATGTAAGAAAGGGAGAGGGGGGGGAGGTCTTGAACCACTGTCATATTACATTTGCTGCCCTTTGCCTACTTGTGTCCCTCCTTTGGCAAGAAAGGCTGCATTGGTCAAAGAGTGTGCAGAGGCCACAAGGGATGTGGATCATATTTTCTAAGTATTGCAACATTAAAGAGGCACAGGGTTTTACACAGGACGGAGAAAGAAATGTACGTGGATTGAGAAGAGGAGGAAGAAGAAGAGGAGGAAGAAGAGGAGGAGGAAGAGGAGGAAGAAGAAGAGGAGGAAGAAGAGGAAGAAGAAGAGGAGGAAGAAGAGGAAGAAGAAGAGGAAGAGGAGGAAGAAGAGGAGGAAGAAGAGAAAGAAGAAGAGGAGGAAGAGGAGAAAGAGCTGAGACAGGACACAGATTTGGAAGACAGCTCAGCAGATGCCCCTGTTTGTTTGTTTGTTGTTTTGTTTAATTTTTGTTTTTTTGTTTTTAATATTTTTGACATAATGATGAACACTGCCTTTGTTGATCATATCTTATTTCATCTTTTCATCTTTTGTTATAAGCACAATGATCAGTAATAACAGATGCAGTGGAACCCTGATAAAGTCAACTTACTTAAAGACAACTCTTGCTTACAGTCAACACCTCACTGTGGTCCCGTGTCTTACCTTCTTTGTTTAAGCAATTGTATTTCTGATACAGTCAACCCATTGAGTGTTAACCTTGCGTAAAGTCAATAATTTGGGGCTAAATCCCAAGATGAATTCATTAAAGAAGAGATATTTAGGTCCTGAGCCTATGGTGTACACACCTCCAATTACTTCGTTCACTTATTGTCTCTTGTTTTGGTGACGACTTCAGAATTGTGTACTCACTGAAATTGAGCTAGCATCTTGTTACCAGGTACTTTGTAATTTTGTAGCTGTCATCTTCATTTTTCAATGGCCAGTAGTACAATGGATAAAGTCAACCTTGCTCATAGTCAGCACTTTTTTTCGGTCCCGGGGTGTTGACTTTATCAGAATTCCACTGTAATTTGTTTTATTTGTTATTAATGCGCTTTTGACATTGACATGAATCTCTTTTTTTCCCCTCCTAATTAGCAAGAAAGAGTGTGTGCAATTTTTGCTTGAATGATTTACTGTTATTTTTTAGTGAATGTAGAACTGCATATCATTATGTGCATTTATGTGTGTATGCATGTTTTTCGTGAATATTATGTAAAGCGCAGAGATCAATGATTGTTATATGAAGGTGCACGATATAAATGTCATATTATTATAAGCGAACAATGCAATATTAGGGGATTGGGGGGGGG